ACACCTTCGAAGGGCCACCAAAGAGCCTCCGTCTACATCTGTGGCAATGCTCATGGTACCAGTTAACCCATTTCAGGTGGAACCAAGTGCTTACAAGGACCAGTGCATACAAGCCCAGGGTGATGGGGATGCAATTTGCTTACTATTGGGAAATAGTTTCTGTGGTTCTGTTTATACTTTCAAATGTGTTTTGGTCAACATGATTCTAACATTGTCTGAGAACAATGTTGTTTTCATATTCATCAAACAACCCCATGGATTTAAATATATCACCAGTTTTTAATTTGATGAGTTTAGGAGAAAAAGCTCTCCCTCCCACCAGTGGTGGGAAGATCAACGTTTGCTGACAAAGCAGTTGGCTGAAAAATCTTCTTTTCCCTTAGAAAGTAGACTTTAAGTAAATTTCTGAGCCTCTGACCCCCCCCCCCATCAACTATTTGAGTGGTAACAGACACTGGGATTTTATCTGTAGACACAAACCCTGCCCAAGGCCTAAATGAATGGCCCTCCAAGGTCTCTTGACCCTTTCGAGGAGGATCTTAAAATCTGCCCAGATATGAAGGCTAATGAAATGAAGGAGCCAGAGAGAGAGAAAGCAAACTCCTAACTCCATAGACCCTTCAGCAAATCTTGAAAATAATCGGTTCAAAATATCCCCAAAGTGCTAACTTTTGTGACAATGCTGGCATTTGTTGAAATCTTTAAATGTCAACATTATTTTGAATAATGGTTTTTTAATCCATTACTGGCCATTTCTAGTAATTCTGCATTATTTTAATATTACACAGTAACTGATTAATACACAATTCACTCAGTTTAACTCATTTTGTCAACTTCCTTAGTATTTTAATGCTAACTTGTTATTATTAATACCAGTGTTTCCAAATTCTGCACCCAAATCATGTGCCATCCATACAATACTCACAAAGGAGGAGGTGGGGAAGGATACACAAAAAATAAGAGAGCTTCAGCCATGGACACTTGAGGAACAGAAAGGCAGGATTTAAGAATATTAAGTGAAAATAAAATGAACTTCATATTAACAGCCAAGAAAAGTCCCAGTTATCAAGGTGTTTGAAATAAGATGAATCCTGAATTAGGCTTTCATAAGGCTGCCTTGATATCCAGTGTAGTGTAGAGTGATGGACTAGGACTCTGGAGAACAGGGTTCAAATCCTCACTTGGTCCTGGAAACTCACTAGGGTGGGTGGAACTGGTAGAGCTATTCTTTAAATATCTCACTTACCTTGAAAGCCCTATTATGGTTGATATGTCAGTTCTGGCTTGATTCTTTTACAAGGCAAGGGAGAATTTTATTATGATTCCAGATCTGGTGTCAAGATGAAAGTTGCCTTGCTTACGTGAATACTATAGCCTATGATTTCAGATCTGTATATTTTTATTAGTTTTTTAAAAATTATACACTGATACAAAAGACAAATATAAAGAAGAATGAGAGAGACAGAGAGAGAGAGAGAAAGACAGAGAGAGAGAGAGAGAGAGAGAGAGTGAGAGAGAGGAAGAACATTGACAATGAAACTTCCTGTAAATTATCTCTCCTCTCCCGAGTTAACCAGGTTTAACTTAACACTGGCTTTTCTCCAGAACTCTATAAATCTTTTGCCTTCAGATCCACATTGTGACCATCCCTGGGCCCTTTGCGCCAATCTGTGGAAGACCCAAGTTGGGCCATGATTCCCTTTAGCATTTTGGCACTTGTCTAAATCTGGTGTAGAGTCTTATCTATAATGTATTACATTGAATTGATTTTGAGCATAAAGCTGCTTTATAAGGGATACAGAAGGGGAAAAACGCACTAGGGATTCTTCATGTAAGGAAACTGTATACAAATCTCTTTATTGAGAATTCAGTTTGCTAAGACTGTGGTAATCCTAATTACCACTTTTATGTGATCCATAAAAAAAGAAACATACAAAGACTTTACAAGTTCATAAAACTGTATCATAAAGAATACTTCTGTTGTAATAAACTGCTTGATTTGCCTCTTCTTAGTTTACCTTGGCTTGAGCAGCAAATTGAAGCTAATACTGTTCTGACAGGCAGTACAAACCTATCCTGCAAACGCATCCTAGTCCATGGAGATGAAGACATAGGATTTCATTTCAAACAAACAGCCATATTATTGTAGTACAATTTAACCCCCTTTGTGCCTGTGATTTAATAGAAAGGTAAAATGTGCTTTGAAGTAGAACTGCTTCACACTTTATGTTACACTATTCATGCAACCAGTGTTGGTTGCACTAAGCATATAGGCCACAGTTTAGCCTGAAGAAGCTCAGGAATTAGGAGCTGAATCCAAATTTAGTCATACTGAGACTGTGGGCCAGGGCAATCTATGGCTTTCTAGATGCTGCTGGACTGCTCTAGTTAGCACAGCTGATGGTGAGCGAGATGGGAGTTGCACTCCATTATACAGAGGACTATAAATTGCCAAACATCTGAAGCAGACTCTGCCTAAGATAAGCCATCCTGATCTCTAAGTATGATTAAGCCTGGCCCCAACTAAATAGTTTCCAGAAAGAGGCAGCCATATCAATCTGTTGCAGCAAAACCAGCATACAGGGAGCTTAAAGACTAACACATTCATTATGGCTTCACATTCCATGGACTAAGAGTTTATTTTTAGTTGCACGTATACACATGTACACACACGTACACACACTTTCCAACTAAAAATACACACACACGCAGTTCAAAAAGCAGTGGCATGTAAAAACTACAGTTCATGACAATTTTATTGAAGGACGCAAAATAACCTCTGAAAAGATAAAACTCCCAGAGAGGCTTGAGCAGAACTCTGAAACCCATGTTAAGACATCTGAGAAAAATGCTTAAAAGTCACAGGTCTCTAATATTTATTCAGCTGTAGCATTACTTTATGTTGCAGCATCTGAGAAAATACTTGTATGGATATGAAAAGAGTAGAGGTAGTTCTTATTATGGCTATGTTGTCTTTAAAAAGCTTACTTCTAGGCTGGTTTTGTTTCTCTGCTTCCTGTTCAATGTAGGATTGCCAACTGACCAGGAAATAAAATGTTCTGACTGGTTGGCTTCATATACAGAAGTCCACAATGAAGGCTACTGGCAGCATAAAAGTAACCATTACCTACTGCTCATGCTCACAGCTTAAGCTACATTTGAAGGCACAGGAGCATGGCCTAGTGAAAAAGCTGGCAACTCAAATCAGCTTAAATTATTTTTAATTTAATTAAAGTTAGTACAAATATAACTTTTTTAATGTTGGGAGGGAAAAAAACCCCAAAAGTACGAATTATGTATTTAGTATACACAATTATCTAAAAGACAAGGAGCATATATGTTCAGTGTCTGTCATACAAATATAACTTTTTTAATGTTGGGAGGAAAAAAACCCCCAAAAGTACGAATTATGTATACACAATTATCTAAAAGACAAGGAGCATATATGTTCAGTGTCTGTCATATATATGTTTGGCTAAAATATACTCCACTGTGTTTTCCAGAGAGGAATATAAGGATATATGATATATGACATCTCCATATGGTAATCAATTCATAAAGGGAGAAAAATACCCCCATACAACATCCTAACTAGGAAAACTAAAATTTAAATAGAATTACAAATATCATATACATACAGTAGTACAACGCTATATAAACCATAGCTGTAATACTGAGCAGATTCACTTGAACAAATGTTTTGGTTGCCCACTAGCATCACAGGGGGAAAGTGCTAATCTGCTTTGCAGTGGTAAACAGCTGGTCAGACCCTGATAGCTAATCCACACTGCTAGCATCAATAGCACCTCCTCAGCTGAACAATCAGCTGCTAAATAGCAGAATAACAGCCAGGTGAAAGCAGTGCGCATGTATGTGGATGAGTGTCCATGTGCAGCTCTTCAAGTGTTAATATAGGCCCTCCAAATGGTATTGAGCAAATTCACTTCTATACATGCGTGGGCAGATCTGGATAGAGCTTTTGACCACTGCCAGCCAGCATAACACGTGGCCCTGGTACCTGGTACCTTGGCGTTTATAGTCCAAAAAAAGGAAAGGTTTTCCAACTCCAGATTTGGGGCACAAGGCCTTTAATTCCTGACGTGACTACTGCCAGCCAGCATAACACGTGGCCCTGGTACCTGGTGGATTCTGGCATTTATAGTCCAAAAAAGGAAAGATTTTCCAACTCCAGATTTGGGACACAAGGCCTTTAATTCCTGACATGGCCATACAGACTGAGTGACAGGCTCAACATATAGAAGGCTACGCTATTAGGGTGCAAACCTCCTGTGTAGGGCAAGACAGAGTAAAATCCATAGGGAATATCTGTTCTTGTAAATCACATTCTGTTTTGTAGCAGCTTCTGTGCAAAGAAATTCTGCCTCCATGATTTCTTAACACAGCACTGTTATACAGCTTTATGCAGATGGATATTCAACCATGATCAACAGGGGCTTGTTTAGTATGCTTAGGAACCATGCCCTAAATTAACCTTCTAAGAGGCTTATAATTTGGCACTGCTCCATTAAAATCAGTGAGCAGATCCAGTCTCAGAATTTTAAAGGCACTTTATAGGTTGAAGTCTTCTTATTAACCTAAGACCTCTTATCCACAAGAAGCAAACTCCAAATACTGTACTCGGCAACTTGGTATCTTTTAATTGTGCCCAAATCCAGCTTATCTGAGGCAGCTGATCCAGTCCACATCATGGCAGGGCCGGCTAATAAGAATATTGCCACAGTTAAGGAGACTGACCAGCTTTGAAGATCCTTAGAGCGGGAATGCAGCTTCTGGCCCTGGGACCGCAATTCCCATGATCTCTGACTGGTGCCCATGCTGCCTGAATGGATGGAAGTTGTAGTCCAACAGTATCTGGCTGCAGGGGCACACATTGCTATACAACTCTTCAAACTCTGTTTCTGTATAGCTTAGAATGATTTTAACAGCTTTTAGCATTGCTAATAAGCTTACACTGAAGTTAATAAGTGGTTTTATTTTTGAAATGAACCATTCCTCCATTTGTGATGCACACATGCAAAATATGATCTGCTCCTGGCAATGCACATTATGTTTATTATTTCTACTCTCTCTTTCTCTCTCTCTGCAATTCGTACAGGCAATAATAGCGGGACCTGCCCATATTTTTATTACTTATCACCCAAGTTTTGCATATGTCTCAACCAGAATATATACGAAAAGCAAAACAAAATACTCCTTAGAAGAACCACATTCATGAGGCTCCCTATGGTAGCTTAGCTAGAACTCTGTGAACAGAGGTACAGAGGTTGGAATAGGTCCTGGACTACAGCTCCCAGAATCCCCAGCCAGTGCTGAATGCTGCTTTGGAACGTCGGGAGGAATCCCTCCACAATATCTTTTCTCGAGCTCTTTAGAGGAGTGCCTTCTTTTCCACAACAAAGATGCCCCTTAAGGCATGCAAGAAACCACTGACAAAAACAGTGATATTCTTATCCATATTAGAGATGGCTAACATCTTAAAAACAGTGGTGGTCATGGAGGGTGATATCTGCAGGGCTGGGTACTACGTATCTGCTTTTAAAGAAACCAAGGGGCAGAGAACTACAATCATATCTGCAGGCAATCAACGTTTGATGGGGAAAAAGGAATTCAAATTGATGGCTGGCCTCTCAATTCTTATTCAGAAGCCTTTCTGGCATCTGAGCTTTTCTGCACACATTACCTCCACATTTGTCTTCATATTCACAAAGCCTAAAAGCTTGAGCATATGCATCTATCTAAAATCTCTAAATCTAAAAGAAGATTCACTGTCATTCTGCTCTTTCTATACTGTGCCATGTATACTGACAGTACTGTCTATAAAAATGATATTAATCTTCTCACCCCAATGAAATCCAGCTCTTCCAACCTGTAATACACTATTCCAGATGAATCCTATATAGGGGAAATAGTTTCCCGGCAGCCTGTTAAGTCCTGGCTTTTCTATTTGCCTGGGGGACTGCATTCGGTTTTGAGGATCACAAGTGGGGCAAATCTAATCTATTCCTCTAATAAGGAACTGGTTCTATTTACAACCTTCCTTCAGAGAAATGTCGCAGAGTTTTTGCTAATGCTTCACAGGTTCACAGCAGAAGGACTGCATGTATTTTTAAAAAAACTGCAGGGCTGGGAAAAGTTACTCTCACTGCATGTGTTGCCTGTGGGATTCTTGGAGTGGAGAGCCAAAAGAAAAGGAATATTTCAAAGCTCTGCCAATGTATATTCCCCTCCTCTATTGCCCCATTTCAGCAGTTATTGTTCACATTTTCTTACAGAATAGTAGATGAGAACTACCAGTCTAACCCTGTCCATGCCCTCCTGATTTTGTGCCTAGCTACAATTCATAATAAAGATTTCTATTTGTGTGTAGTTTGTCTTGAAACCCTGCAACGTGAGGCAACCTGTTTGAGGCACCAAAAAGCAAACCACACATATGACAGAGGATTATCGTTCAGCCTGACAGACTTGCTTGTGTGTTTCTTTAAAGGGGTGGGGGGGTGAGAGAAGGAGAAATGAAAGCAGCAGTGATTTCTCGATCAAGCTGGCTTTGTCCCAATGACAGTCATAGTAAAGTATATATGCTGAAAATTATTACTTAGGTTCACAGGACTGCTTCTATGAATACACAGCTGTTTCATTTATGGGATCTGTGGATGATCTGGAAGTGCTCAGTCTGAAGAGTTTAAGTGCTCTGACAAGGTTATTTTTTTGGATGGGGGAGTCCGCTTTATTGTATCTCTCTGCAACCTCCACGTGTTCTGTTATGGACTCTGCAGGTGAGTGTGATCAGTACAGACTGCAAGAGATATTACCGTTTGTCCAAATCCCAAATTCTGTACCCCTGGATCTGTTGGGATGACAGATTTGGATCATCCATACCCTTAAAAAATCATTTCAAGAGCAAAAGGTTTACTTTCTTGCTTAAGATGAGCTGTACTTGTGGCTGGAGCGGAAATTGTCATATCCATGATCATTAGCTCTGAACTTTAAGCAGGACTGTTTCTCTTCCAGGGACAGCATATCTTTGGACTGGCACCAGCAACACAGGCATGACTGTTGAAAGAGAAGAGAAAACCTCTGTTAGGAAATCTGGAGCATGGCATGAAAAGAGAGAAGTGCTCCAGGCTCAATACCTAAATCCTGCTAGAATTAAGCAAATATGGTTATTTATTATGTAAATTACAAACCAGGAGCCATAAACTGTAGAAGAAATGTTTCTATGGAATGAAGACTAGTACTGGCGGTATAGTGGTGAATTTGGAAATCCAGGTGCTCATCATTAGCCACCTCCCTCAAACAGAAGGAGCGTGCAAAAAGGCAGGCAGTTGGATCTGTTCATATATAAAAAAATAAGGTTTTTTTGGGGGGGGGGTAAAGTTAATGGCTTTTAATTGCCCAATCAAGACCTAACAACCCTCATATACTTTTCATTATGACCAAGACAGCCTGCAAGAATATACTGTTCCTGGGAAAATCCATCTCTCCTCCAGATACTGTGAAAATGGCAAGTAAGGTCAAAGGGGTCAGAGAAGGCTAAGGATGGATCCCAGTGCAAAGATGGGTGAGTCCAGGAGAGCAGACAGGGAGGGGAGGAATGAAGCAAAAACATCCGTTTTTGTAACAAGGCCCTCCCTCTCTGGTTGGCTGTAACCAAGAAAGCTAGCCGAGGGAATGCATGTGAAGACATCATATAAGTCAATCCCATCATGTGGGGGAGGACTTAGACATGGTGCAGATGAACACCAACATCACTGGAAAATGTAGCCACAGAATCCTGGATGAAAAAAATTGGTAGGAGTAGGAATCTGAGCTACTAGGATGGAGTATTCCCTGGTGGGGTAGCATTAGCCCCTTCCACAAGCAGGAAATAGGCAGAATGGAATCACTGCAACAGGTGGATGAGATGATATCAGGGGATGGGTATGAGAATGGGGAAGAAACCATAAACAGGAGTGATGATCCTGGACTTGACCAAGGTTCGATACAAGATGTAAGCTTTGGCAAAGTGCAATGACAGCGCTGTTAAGATCAATATACAAGTAAAAATGGAGAGTTGTGAAAAAGCCCAGCATGATTACACATTCTATTGGCTGTGGCTATTTTTGGAAAAAACAGAGCTTGCCATTATATATGCTCTGGTAACCTCCAGGCTAGATGACTGGACTGCACTGTATTTGGAGCTGCCTTTGAAGATAGTCAGGAAGGTACCAGTTGTTCACAATATAGCAGGTAAACTGATAGCAGAGACTAAGGAACTGCCTACAGAATGATATGTCACCTCCAATGAAATAACTTTGCTGGTGCTTAGTCCGTGTACTATTGTTCACTTTCAAAGTCCTAAATGGAAGAAACTAGCCCATCTTCTCCCATGATCACTGAGATGGTCATCGGAGCTCATCTCCTAATGATACCTCTCTCTGTGAAGTGAAGCAAAGATGACCAGAAAAAGAGAGAGAGAGAGATCTTTCTTGGTTGTGATGTCCATTTTCCCCTCGAATTCTCTTCCCAGTGAAACTTGCTAGTGCTTACCATGATGACATTTGGGTGCTAGGTGAAGTTCTTTTTTCCACAGATTAATGAGCTATTTTGAGCATTTGGGGTTGGGTGTCTTATTCTACATCAGGGGTTTTAAACTCAGTTTACCTGGGGGCCACTAGAGGCAGAGTCTGGGTGAGGCTGGGCCGCATCAGATTTTCTGCCAAGCGGAGCAAGAGCCCGAGGAAGCCACCCAGGAGTTTCCTTAGCCGATAGACAGGTGGGCTGGCTGGCAGGCTGCAGTTCTGGATGGAGGGTGCAAGAGGTGCTGTCTTGGGAGAGAGCCAGCGAGCGAGGCAAGGCTTTTATTTTTACTCTTGACAGCAGAGGATTTGTGGGTGCTTTGGGGGGGCAGGCAAGGCAAGGGCCATAAAATATCATCTGGGGGGCCGCAAATGGCCCCCGAGCCACATGTTTGAGACCCCTGTTCTACATGTTGCTACTTAGCTAAAATAAGATTGGAAGGATGAGTTTAGAGGTAATTAAAATGATGGTAATTTGAGACAGAACACGCTAAATAGCATCAAATTTAAGAGGATGCCAGCATGGTTAAAAAGCAGAGGCAAGGGAAAACTATGAAAGCTGAGAATGCTTTGGAAGTCTTTCCAGGAGAGGACAAACTCTGTTGTAAAAAATAAAGATTGATACGGTAAGCCAATTTTTTAAAGAGCAACAATAAAACATTTCTCTAAATATGTCAGGTAAATAACTAAGTAGACAGGGGAATCAGCAGATGACAAAACAGCACTAAGGAATGCTAGAACAATTATGGAGACACTGAATTTTTTTTTGTGTGTGGGCAGAACCATGAATTAAAATTAACAATACAGTACAGTACAAGGTTTGATGGCATTTAGCCAATTCAAAGGCTCTTGACAAAACTCAGATTCTTCATCTGATAACAAAAAATGTGCACTGTATCACTAGAAGTACTGTAGTTATCACACCAGAGGACTGAAAAGTAGCCAGTGGACTGTTAATCTTTTAAAATAATCCATGGGTAACCTGGGCAGTTAGTTGAAGATCTAATCGGGATGTGTGTGTGGGGAATTAATGGAAAACTTTATATAAGGATTGAGTTATCAAATATATAAGAGATCTTGGCAGCCAAGGAACAAGTAAGTGGTTCAATTACAGCAAATGGAGAGTAGGACTAAACAGCAGTTCTTGCAAAGAAATAAATTAAGAAGCAGTACCCAAAAAAATCTAGATCGGGACGAGTGGCTTTTAATTTCTTCATAGGGCTGTGGAGTAATGGAATGGTCATATTTCCTGGCGACAAGTTATTCAGGATGGTAAAAACGTAAACATGAAGTGGAAATTACCAGCTAGATTTTGGCCGTATACAGCTGGTAAAATGGTACATTAGACGTGAGCTACATGGTGAGCAAAATCCCATGGTACGACCCTTCTTTCCCTCTACCACTCCAGACAATAGGTGAGGGCTCCTATTTGTGAATACTCTTCCAAATCAACAATTTTGTGGCAACAGAAAATCACCACATTTGCAGTTTAGACGTCTCTTTACAGTGACATTTTAAAAAGTGACACATCCCTCTTTTACAATATGGAGCAGTTCAACCTGAAAAGTATGCTGCCCCATCACATTACTGAATATCCCGCTTAAGCCTTTGAGGTTATTCCAAGGTAGTTTTCACATGATATTTTCCTTTGTTCAACTTTTGGCGGAGCGAGACGGAAAGGAATGCTGTTGTTCTGTTCCGTTCCATTCCATACTTTTCCTTTCCATTATTTACATGCCACCCTTCTCCCCATAGGGGACCAAAGGTGGCTCACAACAATTAAAAGTGCACAAAAAAAGGATATATAAATATGAAACTCATAACGACAAATATCACGCATGATTTTAGCTTAAGCGGTGGAGAAGCATTGCGAGTGTTAAGAAAAGTTCTTAACTGTCTGGCTTCTGTCAAAGGGCTGAGGAGATCCCGTTTTCTGAATGTATCAATAAATTCTTCATTAGAGATCACAGTTGTCAAGGCTCTATGCTTCCATCATTCAAGCACTTTCCACGGACTTTCCTTAAGAGCAACCTTTTCAGTCCTTATGCTCAATGCTGTGCTTTAGCAGAAAAATCATAAAAACACCTGCAAATTCCACCCCATGGCACACAACCGAGTATAGATTTCATGCTTAATCGTGTTATTTCTACATTGTACACAATGTGCTGTGAACTGTAAAATGTGCACTGAAACCTGCTGGGCCATCCCATGGACCACATAAAATGAGCAATTCTTCATCTTGACAAGAGATCAGCTTAACTGTTTAGTGTGTCTCGGACATATTTGCTAAGCACAAGTCAAGTTCACTCTCACACAGCAGCTGCAATCCAGCCAGTGAGTTCCACAGGCACAGCAGGGGCTTCTCCATCATTCATCCGCAGAATCATCCTTTCATCTTCTTGCATTTGCTTTTATCTTCTGTAGTCTGTGGTGTTGTTCTCTGAGCAAACAGTTATACACAGGGCACAATCTACAGAGCTTAGAATACCCCTTCTTAAAACACACGTAGGTCCTTGTTATTTGCTGCAAAGTAACTCATTAGTGTTACTTGTGCTTGTTATTTTGAAAAGAGTAATTAATTTGTTCCTTTTTAATCCCCTCCTTTTTAAAAAAAGGTTGGAAACCTAAAATGCCTAAATATGAGAATGGACAAAGATTTCCCTCAAGCAATATTGTATGGTTAATGTGCAAATATTACCTGTAACATTAAAGAAGTAATTACACCACTGGTAATTACATTGCTTTTTAGAATATAACATTTTCATGCCCCCAGGGTTTTGACAAACCAATTATTCCAAAACTATTTGCAATCTCTTTATACCACTATTGTAAAGTACATGTTATGGGTATTTTATCTGATGGTTTGCTTCAGTCTGGTAATAAACATGCAACAAATCTGTCTTACCTTAAAGCAGTTTTTGAATCGTTTGCTCACCAAGTAGAGGGCAATGGGGTTAATGCAGGAATTCAGAGATGCCATGTTGAGACCAGTGTAGTTCAATACCAGCAAAAAGCTGTGTTAAAAAAAGAAGAAAAAAACACATTATAAAATAAAAGAAATAATTTTTTTTAAAAAGAAAACACATGTTGCTACCAGAGTGCAGTAATATTACATTCTATTCTGTTTGTCATCTTTCTTAGAATCTCATCAACATCCAAGCAACTCATCAGATTGCAAGAGTGTTTTTTAAAATTACTGCATAGAAATTTGTGCATACTTTTATCCAAATGTTTACCTGAATTCTCTAATAATGGAGTTGGAATGGGCCTATAAGGCCATCGAATCCAACCCTGCTCAATGCAGGAATCCAAATCAAAATGTATCTGACAAACAATCATCTCATTTTGTCTTGAATGCCTCCAGTGCAACTACCACCTCACGAGGTCACTGGTTTGTTTGTTTGTTTGTTTATTTATTTCATTTATACCCCGCCTATCTGGTCAATTGTGACCACTCTAGGCGGCTTACAACATACACTATAAAAACAATTAGGCATATAACATAACACATAACATAATTTGCATAAATAAAACAGTTTCACTGTCATACTGCTCTAAAAGTTATGAAGTCCCTGATATTCAACTGAAATCTGGTTTCCTGGAACCTGAGGCCTTTATTACTCTGGGATGACTGAGAACAAACTCCCACGGATGCCAAAAAATGTGGAAGTTGCAAATGGTATACATTTCATGGTCTCTGGTTCCCTTTTGTGGTAGGTTCTGATAAATACAGTACATCCTGGAAATATGTATAAATACCGTATTTTTCAATTTATAACACACCCCCGTTTATAAGACAACCTCCCCCCCTGACTTTTCTAACCCCAAAACTAAGAAAACGTAGTTTTGAGGATTCAGCCTCTGGGCTCAGAACATCAGACATTTTGAGCCTCTCTTGAATCTTAAGCCTGCAGGCGCCACCTCCAATGAGGTGTGTTCCAACTGGTTTGTTCAGGATCAGCTGATGTCAGTTCCATAAAGCTCATGATTGGAGGAAGCTAAGTCACTGGACTGTAGGAAGTTAAGCCTCGTGAACGAAGGAAGCCTGTTTACAGAGGCAAGGTATGTGCCATTTTGTTCTCTCCTCAGCTATCTCAGCTTACTTCTGTGTAAAAGACGCCCCACAATTTTTCGTGTAATGATTTTAGGAAAAAGTAGTGTCGTATACAAGGAAAAATACGGTATATATTTCCGGAGGGTTTTATTTAGTATTTTCAGGCAGTGGATAAGTGAATCAGTGGATAGTGTCCCATGGATGGGGGTCCCTACTGTACTGCTACCTCAAAGGCAGCTTCTGAATGCATTTCAGATAGATGCTGACAGCACTGGCCAGGTGCAGGGTTATAGTGATGGCAGAGCTAAGAAGGTCAAAACTCCAGGATCTATTGATCAGTAGGAACAATATTGCTATCTCCCATTGCCCTCAGTCTTCCTTGTTGTCTTTGAACTTTGCTGCAGTCCAAAAAGTAGCTGGGGTAAGATGAATTCTCCTCGCCTCAATAAGTATTCAAGATCTAATGCAATGTATTTTGGGGGTGGTTTGGTTGCTTTCTTCTTCCATTAACAGCTGGACTTTATAAATGGGATATTGTGCCGCTGCTCATTGAGTCTATGTGTGCATAAGTATATTTGTGTTTGTTCTCACACTAATACAGACAGGCAAGTAGGCAAATATATATGGTTCATCACATCAAACTTGGGGGTGTGGCTGTCATGATCAATGTCTGCATTTTAACATTTACCACTGTATCACTGGTAACAGATCACCACTAACATTATAAACAATTACAACCCGAAATCCTCTTGCTTAGCATAGTAAGTTGCACTAAAGTAGGCCCACTGCATCAGTGGGGATTTGGTGAGTAAACCTCTCTGTAAGATCCATTGGTTCAAATAGGTCTATTCTAGCTGTGACTTACTTTAGCATGGCAAAACACAACTAGAGTAGGCCCACTTGAATCAAAGGAATGCATAGAGGAATTGATTCACCAAATCCCCATTGATTCAGTCTGACTTCCTCTGATAATCAACAAGATTTCAACCTTCTTTACTGATTTAAACAATATTTACATATTGCTTAGATCTGGAAATGTCAATGTTGTTGTATACAACAATTTGAAAGAAATAAACAAACCACAATATTTAGCTGGATTCCACCTGAAAACACATGGCAGGCTGACAACGTAAACGAGACTTGTGAAAACAGTTTCTGTATCTGAACATATATCTCAAATTATGAATAACTGGAGCATGAAGAATTTTTGATGCAAGGGTACTGCATGCTGTGGGTGCCACTGTGCTAAATGTTCTGCTCTGCTTTGTTGAGCACAACTGAGAAGCATGTGGCACCTCCAGAAAGGCATCTTTGGATGACCCTGGAAACGAGGTCTCTAAGAAATAAGGTGGTCTCTCAGCTAAGCAAGTTCTGAGTTCCTTTGGGCTGTATCAACTAAGAACGGGACTTTAAACCTGGCCTGCTAGTAAATTTCTCACAAAAGGCTATACAGCTTAGGGCATGCACCCCGTAATGTCTCAGAACATCTGTGAGGACCTGATTAGGAGCACGGAGATGCACCAGGCATTGAGAGTTGCCCATGCGGCGACAAGGATTAACGACTGACTGGGCACTGCTTGAAAAGACAACACATGCTCAGTGGCAGCTGAATGATCTTGCCCTGTGTTTTTCATCAGGAACACATCCTCTAAGAGAGAAACCTCAGCGTGGTAGCACTTCCTAACTAGCTATGGAGTTATTTCCTCAAGACAGTCTCACCTCAACAGTTCACATCGATTCGGGTCTTGTTCATCATAAAGAGCAAACTTCAGTATCCTACTGAGATGAAGTGGGAGCCAACACAATGCGAAAACGAGCACTAAACAGAACACCGTTTTGGCGACTTCACGTCTCTGAAAGCAAGAAGCACCATTTGGAGAATTAGATTCAAAATACTTTGACTTTCCCACGTGAAAATTGTCCTCAAGAGTCTCTGGATTCCTTGTGTTTATCCTACATATTTTGGAATGCTCCTGTGTTTATGAATTAATGCTCTGAAAAGCCAAGAGGATTAGGTAAAATTAGATGATGGAGAGAGAAGGGCAATCAATATTCCATCTCATCACTGCTTCAGAAGGAAAAATCTGTTTGTCTGTTTTGTAAAGGATGGCTCTCTGATCTCCTTTAAATTATTCCAACTAACAAACTACCAAAGGATAGAAATGAGACTGCTACCATCTGGAGAGACCTTCTATTACTGAAAGATTTCACAAACATAAACAAAAACGCTAACCCAAACACATCTGATGTCACTTGGTTGCACATATTCCATGACCGGAAGTATTGGTCCTAGGAGATTTATGGGATTAACTTTTGCTCCCGAGATAACTTTGATTCAGAGAAAGGTGCTAACTTTGGTCACAGGGAAATTATCAGCACAGCCACCAGACTGCAGAGAGACACAAAACTGCACCTCTATGCTATTGATAGCTTGAAGAAACATTTCCCCCAAGTATTTTGCAAAGAGGTAAACTGGGGCTTACAGATGTGGTTAAACGATCTGGATGGACAAACCTCCCACATCTCTGGGATTTGGTGCCACCCATAGGTGCTTGATATAGCAATGCAACAATAGGCAGAGTTCCCACTGTCCCCCAATGAATTAGATCTATCCCTGTGTAGATACGGACACAACTGAGCTTTGCTTTGCATGCTTGATAAGAGTATGTCTAGATTGGTGGGAATGACATAGCTCTGCCCACTGCAGTGCCCGTCTTTCCCACCCGTCATATACACAGGCTGAAATCCAGTAGCACGTTGGGAGTGGAGCAGGCCCATCAAATCAACGGAACTTGAGGAGTTGACTCAACAAACTCCTATTGATTCAATGACTTGCAGTAGTTGCAACAGATTACTGGATTTTAGCTATAGTGATGTGCCCCCTGCTGGTGCCAACATTTTACCCTGTTCAGGATGAGTTGAGATCTCATTTGCATCTTTACCTGTTTCAAGTGGTCATTTAAAGCAATCTGCATCCCACTCTTTTTTCTCAGCATCTCACAGGTCATCAAAGTATAGAAAAGAGCAGTGACTGCCAGCGGCAAGCAGAAATAAAAACTGAAGAGCCACCAATCTTTGGCTTCCTTATAAAGCTAAGAGAAAGAGAGAAAAAACAAACAAAAAAAATCATCACAATGCTCATGAGCTCCTTTTCTAGTAGCACTTAAGGAAACATGCATGTCAACCATGTATAGAAGATCACAATTAACTGGCTGACACACAGCACTACCCTGAAGAAAGCAGTTGATCATGCTATTATTATTTTTTTAAAGTCCCACCTCTAGGATTTGTTGCCTGACTAGTTACTGGAGAAAGGGAGCACCCCCTCATTACCCCAGAAACAGAGCTGAAGATGGAGGGGAAGGAGGGTGGAGACTGTGGAGAATGTTGTCCCTTTAGGAAGGTGGTGGTGGGGGACTCCCTGTGGCAAAGTGGGACCAGATGTCTTCTAAGAGGAAGGAAAGGAAGCAGTGACATTTCAGAGCCAGCTGGTATTTAAAGCGGAGGCCATGACTCTTCTGTGACTCTCTCAAGGTACACTATGGAAATGTCTGAAGGGATGTAGGAAGACCCAGGACATGTTAACCTCTCTTCCATTCCACCTCTGTAAGGGAACAAAGTAGAAAAGCAGAACTTGGCCAGGGCCATACTCAGCCTCTAGGAACCCACCATTCTTTCCTCCTCGCCTCCTATTGATGGACAGCCTAAAGTGGTCTTTAAATATTTTTTGGTCTCTCTGCTCACACATGTCTATACCTGTGATTTGTGGCACACTGACAGCCAGAAAGATTTCAATTTACAGAGGTTTTTCTGCCCAATCCACTAGACGACTCTCCTACAGCCTAAGCTATGCCCATTATCTAGTCATTTTGTTTATTTATCTTTCTATCCCACCTCTCCTCAAATATGTTCAAGGTAGTAAAGATGCAGCTCTTTCTCCCCACTTTCTCCCCACAATCACTCTGTGTCTGTTGTCATGCTGCAGACTGCACCATAGACACCCCTGCCGGTACATTTTGAGGCTGAGTGGGGACTAGATTCCCAGGGCAGATCATAAATAACTATATTTGACTCTGGAGATCAGCCTGGGTGCGAGATGAATTCTTTGCAAGCAGAATCCTTGAGGCTCACATCTTTCTTGTAGGTTTGTCTTGTGTCTAGTCTTGATTCAGATGAGGAGCCTGTAGAGTGCTCTGGTGCAAGATGGGTTCCCAGTAAGCAAGTTCTTGCAGTATGACTGATGGTTTTTGTGCCTTAAGTCCAGATTGTTTCTTTCAGGCCCTGACCTTCTCCTGGAGAAGTAGAGGTCCTTAAAGGGGTATATCCATGTTCTCAGCATGGATGAGATAACATAGGGATGTGGGGCCATGGTGTGCTACATGCTGATTCTACATGGGGTCGAGCCTCTGAAGAAAGAGCTCCTGAGATTATGCTCCAGCAGATTTTGGATTAAGGATATCTAATTTAACTCTGATTCAGGGCTGCTCAGCATGCTAGGTCCCAGATTGGATGCTGGCACCATCACTATTGCTATCACCTTTGGTTCGGCTAGCATCACATTTAAAAACCTCTCACAGATATAGACACAGGCACCCAAACATATTATCATGTATATTATATTCATATTTGAACTTTTCTAAAACATTTTTTAAAGGAGATTGTACATTCATTTAAATAACTAAACAATGGTGGCCCTTTGTTTAAGAACTTCGAAAGTGAAATCCAACCAATGACCAATGGGGTGGAGTTTGAATTCTGCCCTCAGTCTTGTTTGGCAGTTGCTTTCTGAACTCACCTTTGAGAACCAAACAGGCACGGACAACCACCAAGTATTTTTGGGATCCCTTCCCTAATATTTTGGTGCACAGCTTCAGGAGAACAGATTTATCTCAAAAGCTAGCTGTTTACAGTGGTGGCTCGCTAGACGATTACCTCGCAAAACGGTTAATTCGCAAGACAATGAGTTTTTGCGATCGCTATAGCACTTTGCAAAACAGTTTTTCCTATGGGCGATTTTCGCTAGATGATGTTTCAGTCCGTGCTTCGCAAGACTTTTTTTTTTCCGGGACGGTTTTTTGCAAGACGACGATTTTGATGGCTGGGTCCGCGCTTCGCAAAACGATTTTTTTAGGGACAGTTTTTCGCAAGACAGCGATTTTGACAGCTGGGCCCGTGCTTCGCAAAACGGTTTTTCTATGGCGATTTTCGCAAGACGATTCCCCCCCCCAATGGAACGCATTAAATAGATTTCAATGCATTCCAAGACAGCGATTTTCGTGGAACGAATTAACATCGTCCTGCGAGACACCACTGTATTTGGTTTTTTAGCACTTGAATAAAGGTATCCCCTGTCCTCCTCTTTGTAAATACACTTAACATAGGAAGTGGTGGCTCAGCAAAGGTTGCAGCTTACCTGCATAAAATACGTCTGTTGCTGAGGATTCAGTAGACAAACCTTAAATTTTTCTCCTCTGTAATTCATAGTAATCATGTCAAAGCCAATAGCTTCAGGAACAGCTAAAACAAGAGACACGACCCAGATCAATACAATTTCAACGGTTGTCCACATTGGCACGCCAATTCCCTTGATACGGCTCCATGAAGCTACTGCCCGATACCTAAATGTAAGAAACAGATACTAATGAAATATTGATTCACCCTCCTCCAGAGTGGTAGTGGTAGCATCACAGTTCCTATCATCCTTGAGCAATGGCTATGCTGGTTAGAGTTGGTAGGAGTTTAAAAAAAATCTGAACACTATGGAAGCACCGAGCAAACCTTTCTTTTCTCCAAACACGGAAGAAGTTCTTGAGGACTCTGAAAATGGTGGTTTTAAAAGACAATATGCAATGGAACAGAGACAGGAGCTTCTGCCTCCTTTTGAATCTAAGTCAAAAGCAGTAGGGCGCCATCAGGCTTTGCTTCTCTTCTATCATCCAATATCGATCAGCCTGCACCAGAGGGAAAGAGAGGATGCAGCCAAAAGGCAATGGGAGGAACAGATAAGCAGGCTTCCCTTATCTTTGAATCATGTCAGCCCCAGCTTCTCTTGGTAAGAAGTTTGTAACTAAGAATTAGGGGATGTGATCGATCGATCGATCAATCGATCGATCTTCCTTCCTTTTGTGCCATCTTTTAGACTGTAAACTTGAAGGCAGGGCATCCATCCATCCATCCATCCATCTTTTAGACTGTAAACTTGAAGGCATTGGCTGTCTTGTTACTAATTTTTGTAAGCTACTTTGGAAGCTTTTTTTGGTTCCAGAGTAAGGAAAAATGCTTTAAATAAATGTATAATAATATTATGTCAGTTGAATAAGGGATGTCATAAAGTGTGTCATCCTCGCAGACTTCTGCTCTTATAAGTAGAGCTTGTAACACGGTTCCCTCCCATGCCAATACTGTTGTGATAGTTTGGGACAGCATTGGCATGGGAAGAAGTTCCATTATAAATGCTACTCATGTGAATTGGGGCTCCAACATCCTCAAGAAGGTTACCAGTAGGAGATCTGCTGCCTTGAGATGGCTGAGATGGAAAAAGTTCTTGCTGCCCATTCTTTGGACAGCAAGTCCAAGAATGGTCAATGGTCATGCTAGCTGGGGTAATCTGTAAGGTACAGTCAGAACAGGAGCTTGTCCATGTGACAGGGGAATGAAGATGCCTTCAACCTGTCCAGGAGGAAACTCCAAGCTCTGCTCCCCAAATGCCTCTTTCCATCTCTTCTTGGATACGTGGGTCTTTTTGCCACAGGGAATGTTCTTATTGCCTGAGCAACAAGCCAGGACTCCAAAAACATCTGCCTATGTCCTAGCACTGTTCAATCTTCAGTTTTCCAGATCGCAGGCTATGGAGGAACAACCAAGAGACTATGTTAGCTATGGTAATGGTGGAAAAGGTACCAAAGCATGGGATGTTCACAGAAGTGGCTGTGAAACATGACACTTGATAGAGAAAGGAAGAAGCTGGTAAGTGGGGCAAACTGTTCCAGCCATTGCCTTTGAACTGGAAAACTGTGTGAGGATGGGAATAGCAATATCCTATTTCTGCCCCATTCCTTGTGTGTTGTGATAGGGTATAGCTGCTCACAGCATGATGAGGTCTATCTGCTTATTAATGCAGCCTTCCTCGTGCAGAGTATCATGGGAGTTGTAGTCCAATGCAACTGGACAGACTTGCAGTTTTAGCTATCTGGGGATGATGAGAGTTGCAGGTAAGATGTGCCATGGTCATGAGGATGTTTCTGTGATTTTTCTGGGATTAATAATTTGTTTCCGATAGGGGAATGTATAAGATGCTAGTCTTCACTTATCTTGTTCTCCTGCTCCAGAACAAGAAGCCACCATTTTCTTTCTCCTCACCTCTCAGATAAGAAAGTATCTCCTGTTACTATCAGCAGGAGCTCAGGCGTTTGTGGAAATATTTTTGTGCAACGTGCATAAACTTTGCAAAATTATGACAGCTGCTGCCTTACTGCGCTGATTGTAAAAATCAGGAGCAGTGGATGGAGTGTTTGTATCTTTTAAATCAATCAGCCTTCCTTTGTGTATATGCTTTGCTTCAGAAAAGGAAAAGAAATTAGTTTTGTGCAGAGGCATTTTACGTCAATTGTTGCCTCAATGGAAAAAGAAAAGATTGCTTATCTCATGCTTGTTCAGCGACAACAGAGCAGTGACAATAGAGCAGAGTGTTAGGACACAGGCAGAAAGCAGTTTTTCAAGAACCCGTTTCAAGGTGCTATGATAGCTTGTTTCACTGAAAATGAATAATTTTGTGAGAATTTTTCACCTCCTTAAAAAAAGCAAGTCTGCCAGCCACCTTGCACCATGTTCATTTTCACTCTTTCCTTCTCAGCTTGAGAGGAATTCCCTCCAGTCTGTCTTCCTCACACCTGGATAATTACTTCTCTGACACAAACCCTTAGAATTGTCTGGATCTAGTATGTCAAACACTACATATGCTAAATGTGCAAAGGAGATAAAAAGAAAACAGAAGCTCACCTATCGATACTGAGAGCGCACAAACTTAGCACTGTGATGCCCACTGATGTCTTTTGAATGAAGGGAACCAGTTTACATAATTCAACTCCAAAAGGCCAGTTTTCTGCATGAAGCTGTGAAGAATAAACAATAAATGGTTAACAACTGTGTGTAGCAAATCTCCTCAGAGTATTCATGCTGACTAAGCACTGAGTATCTAAATTTAATCCTGGGATCTGAAGTCAGGCAAGCAAGAATCCCTCAAAGAACTGTGAGAAAGCTATTTTGGAATTTTTTTTTAAAAAAAACCATTTTTGCAAGATAAAATCAAATGCATATATTGAGCTTAGACCAGGAAAAAAAAGGGAATTACATGAGAATCAACTGCATTTAAGCCTCTCATGACTGAGGTCTGCCTTACAAATTCCTATACAGTATATGAATCCTATATATGTGCTGAAAGAGAATGTGTACTGATTCATGTGCGAACAGCCTATTTTGCATGTAGTTTTCTTTCTCACCGTTTACACCAGTAGTTCTCAATCTTTTTCAAGTTGCGTAGTTTTCTTTCTCACCGTTTACACCAGTGGTTCTCAATCTTTTTCAAGTTGTGATCCCCTTTTATAATAGCCAACTAACCTGCAACCCCCCTGCCATGTTTGCATAAAAAGGCATTTTAAATGGGGTAAAGTCACCCCTTCTCAGAAAATAAAGGCTTCTCCCCCCCCACCAAGAGCCTATTTCGCATAAATACACATACTGTACATGCTAACTTCAATGTCCCGCTCCAAAAGGTCAAGGAAGAAATTATTTAACAAGGGCTACAACACATATAAGGTGACCTATGACCCACCCACCCCCTTAGAAAATATTTCGTGCTTCTTTGAGGGTCATGATCCCTAGCCTTGGAAACAATGGTTTACACAAAAGTGAATTTGCAAGCAGAAAACCCCATCACTATGAATGGGAAGATCTCTGGCAACTCCAAGGTGGTTGAACAACATGTGGGGAGAGGTTACATCCAAGGAGTAACCGTTTTGCTCTATGCTGAACAAAAGAATACTGCTCAGTGTGCGACTTAAAGGCTATGGCGCATACAAATAGCTTGACTCAATATGCATAATCTTCTTCCCTTTTCAAAGGCTTACACTTCTGTGAATTGGACCTGCATGTGTTTGGATCTATGTTCTTGCTGTCCACATCAGGCTACAGAGGTTACATCCAAGGAGTAACCGTTTTGCTCTATGCTGAACAAAAGAATACTGCTCAGTGTGCGACTTAAAGGCTATGGCGCATACAAATAGCTTGACTCAATATGCATAATCTTCTTCCCTTTTCAAAGGCTTACACTTCTGTGAATTGGACCTGCATGTGTTTGGATCTATGTTCTTGCTGTCCACATCAGGCTACATGCACCAGTGTGAATTGGACCTGCATGTGTTTGGATCTGTGTTCTTGCTGCCCACATCAGGCTACGTGCTATACACCAGTGGTCCCCAACCTTGGACCTCCAGATATTCTTGGACTACAACTCCCAGAACCCTTCACCACCACCTCTGCTGGCCAAGATTTCTGGGAGCTGAAGTCCAAGAACATCTGGAGGCTCAAGGTTGGGGACCACTGCACATGGTACAGATGTGCTAATGCACTCCAGCTATGAAAGTTCCCCGTTTGAGTAAGCAAACTTGCCCAGCCTCATTCAGCTGATGTCAGTGTGACTTGACTATGAATTACTCATGCACAATCTAAGCAAGGAGAACTAAGACGTAAAAGGCCTAAACCATTAACAGGAAGATAAACAAATCATCGGATGTTTGTTAACAAGGATGCACTTTGCTTGCACGCTAATATCTGGGATATTTGCCTAAGACCAGGGTGGATACAATGCAGCATGTGGACTGTATGAAGACTCCTCCATTTTTAAAAATTTTTTTTGGCCTCCAGAGCCACTACAGAACTTTAAAGCTGCCTTTCTGCAGGCACTGCTTTAAACAAGAATTTCGTTCAAGGAATCTCAACTTTCAAACTCTCTTAATGTGACTTATTTTAGGGGGAAAATATGTACAGTACTTCTACTACTGAATTTTGGAGGTGTACAGCAACAGGGCCATATGACAGTTGGTGGTGATGGGAATGGCCCCCATCCCTACCCTAAACTGCTAAATCTCAACAAAGAGAATAGAGAGGGATAATTCCTTCAACGTGCCCCCACATTTCTTGGAAGAAGAATCAAATATGATTAATCACAGCTGTCAACCAATTTAAAAAATCTTATTTGATTAATAATCTACCAATTGACTGCATTAAAAAAAATTAAATATTACTATTTTTTTTTATCTGAAACCTTTTCAAAATGTTGATGGAATTCTAAACTATCACCCATTTTTAGGAAAGAAAAGCCCTGTTTCATCTGCCAGCAGAATGAATGCCACAGGATTGTCCTGACCCTTGTCCCTTTGTGACTCTTAAATCTGCTCCAGAGCATCCCCTGAACCTCTGAAGCACATGTGGGGGACACAGGAGCTGTAGGAGAGGGGAAGGGAAAGAAGCCGTCCCATTGTACAAGGGGAAGTCTGCTCACGTTATATTGGATGTAGCATGCGGGATGACGTCACATTAAAGTGTGGGTTCAAGGCTGCATTTATTTCAACAATTGTAACTGGCACAAACTCATCCCTTGCTTTAAGGTAGGTGCCACAGAAATGTTATAGGAGAAAATGGGATGATCTGCAGCTAGAGTTATTGCAATGCTGCCATTCCCACTTCCCTTTGAAAACATGGCCTTGCACCCTAACCTGAAATGCCTAACAATGATGTGGTCAGTGGTCACAAAGACTTAGACATTCAACAGGTCCAATGGAAACTAGAGGCATGTTCTGGGTGTAAATATGTTCCTTTATTTGCCCCAATGGTAAGTCCATGTCTCCACAGGCCTTTTGCCCAGTGCATCCCTTATGCCTCAGAGTTGGACCTGATTAAGACTGGGAACTGACCAACCACTCGTGGAGATGGGAGTAGAGACAACTTTGGCAGCTTTCCGATACTGTATTAGGTAGGACAAGGCTCAGGTGGCCCTGCTGAAGATACCAAGGTTCTGGAGGAGAAGGAAGAGTCTTGACTGCAGGAGAAGGAGGCGGTGGCTGCTAAAGGCAAAAGGCAAGGAGAGAGCCAGAGACGGAATGGCCTGATAACAGATAATCCTGTGTGGAGTGGAGTAACGATCCTGAAAGAGTTAAGAGCAAGGATAAGATCCACAAACCTGCTATAAAATTCAAACATACGCTTCCCCGATGTCTGTACTTGTAGCAGGAATTTGCCACTAATTCATACTCCTTAGGAGTAAACTCCCCATTCCAAAGATATGGGTCAAAACAGAAGTCTCTCATTTTCTCTCTGGATAATTTTTAATATCATCCTCATACCAATGAATTATCCATATAATTTATTCTTAGGGAAAGAAACACAGTTTTATATTTTATGTTGTCTCTACTGTTTTTGTTTTTAATTTTTATGTGTATTGAGTTTTTCTACTGTGACGAGACCCCAGCAGCTTGAAGTACATGTGAATTTAGCAAAGGCATTTTTAATTAACTGAAACGCGAGAAATGGAAGCAGGAAAATCTGAATTTTTTCATAACGAGCAAAATGAATTTATTTATTTACTTATTGGATTTCTAGCCCGTCCATCTAGACCAAAGGTCTACTCTGAAGAGACAAGAAACACTGGTAAATGTTCCTCAGGTAAGTGATTAATTTAGGACAGATGTTCCAGTTGAAAGTGATCATGACTGCATTGAGGCTGGGCTGAGTCTGTAAATTGGGGGAAGGGGGAATGGAGAAAGACATCAAAAAGGAGCAAACATCATAAAAGCGAATGGACAACAAGAGGCTCCCGGATGCCCCAGCATTGTCCTTGAGTGGATAAAACAGTCACCCATCCATAAAGATAACTGGTTGTTCACTGAAAATAATATAGAGATATAACTGGAGCTACAGAAGGAAGAAAAACCATACACTTTCCTTTTTTCATTTTTCTCCTGTTTCTCATGAGAAGATCTGGCTGTCCCTTTGCTAAAGATGGCTAAAATGCAACTTTACTATAATCTGTGAGGTAACTGGAAAACACATTTCATCTAACTCAGGGGTGTGCAAAGTGCAGATGTAGTTGGTCTGCGACTCTTATCAGCTTTTGCCAGTACAAACAACAGTAAAAAATAAATAAATAATAGTGTTTTGCCCACCCTTAGTGGCAGGCACTAGACACCCAAAGCATACCTACCCAGAAATAGTTTTTAGTGTATAGGATAAGATACCCTCCTGTGGTCACTGCTATTCACACTTGTTGAAAAACAACCCCTGACAATGGCTTTGTGTTTGGGTAAGAAGTGGTTAACTGATTAAAACAAGGAGTCAGCTTCTGGGATTTTCCCTGGTCCACATTTGTGAATGGCAGTGAGTACAAGAGGGGATTCTATAGATCATCTTGATTTCTACCATTAGTGCTGCCAACATTCAGGCTGCCTTTTGTAATGTAAAGCTTAACATCCTTTTTCCTGCTGGCAATGCAGACATGGTATTGTGCAGCAATATTGGGCCATTTCCTGGCTTTCTGAGTTGTGGGTACAGTATAAAAGCACAATATTCCCCATTCATAAAACAGAAGTTTTGGGGAGGATTGAATAAATGCAGCTGCTTGCAGGCAATCATTTTCTCCTCCAATTAACCAGACAGGATGGTACCCCTGATGATCAAGCTATCCAGGCATGAGACTGGACTAAGCCAGATTGCTCCTCTGTACTATCCCATCAAGCAGGATGGAGGGCTTTTAATAGTATGGTATGTTTGCTTCAAAACTTCTAATGGAGGAGGCACTACACTCTTTTGAGGTTTTGAGAACACATCAAATTAATCAGGGTGCTTAACATTTCATGCAGCAGGGAGAATCTTTACTACATTTCCACAGAGCCTGGGATAAGTACAATAATAGAAGAGGAAGTCATGATCTGTGAGCTTAATCTGGACTGCCATCCCACTCACCCTGCCCCCCCAATTTAGCCTAAGGAAGTTCCCTGGTCATCCCTTCTTTCATCCCACGCACCCCTTGGAAAGAGATGCAAACAATCTCCCCCTTGATAGACTGGTGGAGCTGCAGATAAGAGTGAGCATGTCTGGATGGAGACACCACTTTTGCTTTGCTTTTGAATGATTTTTGCTGCAAACAAAGGTCAGGGGGGTGGAATTCATAAGCAAGCCAGCACTCCCACTGCTTCACTAGCACTCAAGGTCTTACAGCAGGCTCAGGCAGATACCCCCTACTTATGCAGCAATGCAGATGTTAATGTTATTTAACAAAGCATCCCTAAGCATGAACTATACCATAAAGCTGGCTCGAAATTCTGAGCATCCAACTGCAAAATGAACCTCCCCCCCCCCCACAGAAAATAGAAAGCTGTTGCAAAGAGAACTAATCAGCAGTTAGGACTTTCCTGGGTGTCTAGGAAATCTCTGTAGAAGGATGAAGATGGGACCGAGGAATCTATCTGGCCGGTTTTGAATGATTTGCCCGGAACAGTCTCTGAGTCCATCTGGGCATGCTCATGAATTCTGAGGTTGCATTTATAGCCCTAGAGAGTCAGCAAGAGTCACACAGGCTGCACTACAAATAAGAAACATTTCAAGAGCTACCAAAGATTTAAGCAGAACATTAGGATGTCTCAATCTATTCCTAATGGTTTTCAAGATGGCATTTGACTACAGTTCCTATCATTTGCAGCCAATGTATTCAATGGTCAGAAATGATGGGCGTTATAGTCCAGCCATGTCAGAGCACCAATCCTGGAATATGTATTAGCAATAGTCCACCTCTGATGTCTGTGGTTTATAATCCAAGATATTTGGAGGGCACAAGTTTCCCTACTCCATGGGAGAATAATGGTCAAGCCAATGGATCAGCATAACCTGTTAGTACGGAATGCCCTACGCTGGACAGTTCTGAATACTGTACTTCAGCAATGACAAATTGCTAAGAAGGCTTTAGAAAAATCATACAATGAGGTGAGAAATTCATGAAATGCTGCTCTCTTCCTGTAAAGCAGGGTCATCCAAACACAGCTCCCTATCCACTCACTCAACCATGGCTAAGATCAGCAAGCCTAAGTCATGCAGTTCAAGGCTTGCTGCCTCTTTCCAAGAAACGAGTTACTGTATTTTCTTCCTGAACCCTCAAATTGCACCTAAGCAGACCTAGGATGATGTAACCACCACCCTCTGTAGTTCTTTCGAATTAGTGTCAACACATATGCCAGGGAGGGGATGCTACCTTTTCAGATGTTTCAGAAACCTCAGTCTAAGAGGACCTATGGGAATTGTAGTTCCAAACATCTGGAAGGCCAAAAGTCCCCTGTCCTGATGCATAAGAAATTAACATGAGGAGTTCAATCTCAGCTGTTTACACCCAAGCACCTGTTGCAATTGTAGCTCCAAACATTATTGATCGATTCAAGCTGGTCAGATAATATATCTGGCTGCCTTTTCAGTGGTTTACATTTTACCTTTCAATAAAGGTACCGTCATATCAGGAAAACCATACAACACTCTTCCATTCTGATTTATTTATTTATTTATTTATTTGATTTCTATCCCACCTATCTAATCAATTAAGATTACTCTAGGGGCTCATGATTAGTACAGGACACAAACCAATGCAAGCTAGTCACCTTAAAACACTTTGGTTTTAGTTTAGGCAACATGCCTCCCAACTGAATTTGTGATTTTGTGGTCAGTGATAGTGATTAGTACAGCTTTCTCCTCTCAGTTTGTGTCTGGTGTAAGCAAGGTTCATTCCACATGTTCTGGTTCCAGCTATACTCTACTCCTATCCATGTTTACACAGAAGTAAAATGCACTAGACTAAGCAAGGTTCATTCCACATGTTCTGGTTCCAGCTATACAGTAGTCTACTCCTATCCATGTTTACACAGCAGTAAAATGCACTAGATTGAGTGGGACTTACTCTCAAGGAACTGAGCATTGGGACTGTGACTGCAAAGAAGCAAGCAACTGTTGTCAGGATTCAGAAAGCAGCTTTCAAATATAGGATTCAGACTTGGAACCAGTGGCCATGCTGCCAGGGGGTTTCTGGGGTTGGATTCTTATCTCTCCAAACACTGCTTAGAGCCAAAGACATGGCAATAAAGAAAAGAATGCCTTTGAACATGTGCAGAGTGTTTCTTTACTGCTAAATGCAGGCACCTCCAACCTAAAAATGAATAGGCAAAAATAGTTCCCATGACAGAGGCTAAATCCAATCTTAATCTTGCCAAAAACAGACACATTTAAATTCTTGTCACTAAAAAGTTCCATTCGTTTTAGTGAGTTTAATCTTAAGTAAGATTAACAATCACTAGCTCTCTTCCATTCCTTTTCAAGCCCCACTTGCAACACTCCTATGTTGGGTTGGATCCTGACTCCATTATAATTAAGTAGACCAGACCCACAGAACTTAGGTTGGTCATTACAAACTGAACATTTTTTTTCCTGGTGATCAGGACATTAGTGAAAACAGAAATAACTTACCCCTCAGATACTGTTACTATTATTATTCTTTTTTTCTCCTTTGTATGAGTTTTAGACCCATATCTGTGAACCACCCTACTGAATGTACTGCTATATGTGGTCTTGTGAGATTTTCATTTTAAACTAAACTGGCCAGTGCAGTGCTTGCATTAAAGGAATTGTATATTACATTAACTCAATCAATTTTGACCAGTTTGTTATAAATGAGTAAAGTGGGGTCCAACAGGCCAGTGGTATGTTTCTTGAACGCGGAATGTACCTCGACTGAAGTTGGCGGTGGTTAATGAGTGACCACCATCCCTTTTGCACAGGCTCAGAAGGGCAGCCGTAGGATCGTCATGATCGCCGGAGGCACCGAAAAGGCTCGGCCGGGCGCAGAAGGGTTTTGGGGGAAGAAGGCGCGCACGCCCTCTCCGCGCTCGGCGCCCGAGGGCCGCTCTTACCTTGTACAAGTGGATGGGGATGTCGATGATGATGAGCAGCAGGTCGCCCAGCGCCAGGCTGGCGATGAGGATGTTGGGCCCGTTCCTCATGCATTTGTTCTTGTAGATGATCCGGAGCAAGGTGGAGTTCCCGATGATGCCCAGCACGAAGACCAGGCACCCCACGGCCGTGTTGATGTATTTGAAGGTCTGGGCG